AGGCAATGCTACCAAATACTAATTGAGTGTATGCAAACTTCTGACCCACTGTGAATGTGATGAAATAAATAAAAGCTGAAATAGATAATTCTCTCTACTATTATTCTGACATTTCACATTCTTAAAATAAAGTGGTGATCCTAACTGACCTAAGACAGGGAATTTTTACTAGGATTAAATGTCAGGAATTGTGAAAAACTGAGTTTAAATGTATTTGGCTAAGGTGTATGTAAACTTCCGACTTCAACTGTATGTTTTCTAAATGTTTACAAATTAATAAAAAATGAAAAGCTGAAATGTCTTGAGAATAAGTATTCATCTCTGTACCCCACACATACAATTATCTCTTAGGTCCCTCAGTAGAGCAGTGAATCTCAAACAGATTCAACCACAAAGACCAGGGAGGTTTTCCAATGCCTCACAAAGAAGGGCACATATTGGTAGATAACAAATACATAAAAAGCAGACATTGAATATCCCTTTGAGCATGGTGAAGTTATTAATTACACTTTGGATGGTGTATCAATACACCCAGTCACTACAAAGATAAAGGCGTCTTTCCTAACTCAGTTGCCAGAGAGGAAGGAAACCACTCAGGGTTTTCACCATGATGCCAATGATGACTTTAAAACAGTTGTGTTTTATGACTGTGATGGTAGAAAATGGAGGATGGATCAACAACATTGTAGTTACTCCACAATACTAGCCCAATTGATAGAGTGAAAAGAAGGACGCCTGTACAGAATACAAATATTCTAACATGCATCCTGTTTGCAACAAGGCACTAGAGTAATACTGCAACATATTTGGCAAAGCAATTCACTTTTTGTCCTGAATACACAGTGTTATGTTTGGAGCAAATCCAATACAACACATTCAGGTACCACTCTCCATATTTTCAAGCATAGTGTTGGCTGCATCAGGTTATGGGTATTGCTTGTAATCATTAAGGACTGGGGAGTTTTTCAGGGTAAAAAAGAAATGGAATAGAGCTAAGCACAGGCAAATTCCTAGAGGAAAACCTGGTTCAGTCTGCTTTCCACCAGACACTGGGAGATGAATTCACCTTTCAGCAGGACAATAACCTAAAACACAAGGCCAAATCTACACTGGAGTTGCTTACCAAGAAGACAGTGAATGTTCCTGAGTGGCCGAGTTACAGTTTGATTTAAATCTACTTGAAAATCTGACAAGACCTGAAAATGGTTGTCTAGCAATGACCAACAACATATTTGACAGAGCTTGAAGAATTTTTAAAAGAATAATGGACAAATGTTGTACAATCCAGGTATGGAAAGCCCTTAGAGACTTACCCAGAAAGACTCACAGCTGTAATCACTGCCAAAGGTGCTTCTACGAAGTATTGACTCAGGGGTGTGAATACTTATGTAAATTAGATATTTCTGTATTTCATTTTCAATCAAATGTGCAGAAATGTCAAACATGTTTTCACTTTGTCATTAAGGGGTATTGTGTGTGTAGGGTGAGAAAGAAAAATCTATTTAATCCATGTTTAATTCAGGCTGTAACACAATGTGAAATAAGTCAAGTGGTTTGAATACTTTCTGAAGGCACTGTATATAAATTATACAATTGTATAACATCAAGGTCTTTGAAAATTACAATTAAGGGCTTGATAAAGTCCCTGAAAGTCCTTGAATTTGATTTGCCAATGTCTGTATGAACCCGGCTTAAAGGATGTATAGTCCTAGGCCTATGTTGTTGTATATTAACTTTTATTCCTCTAAGTACACGTGGAACTGCATGAAAAGCCTTTTTATTTTTATTTCAAACCATTTATGTTGATCCCAATGTCACACATTGGCCCCATTATTTATAGAAAGACCCTAATGTGGTTCCCTTGTCCGTACTTAGTCTAAAAACCTGCAAATCCCCTGCATTTTACATGGGTTAGTACATCACTTCAAATAGCACTATGTCCAGTTTAAAACATGGTCTTTGCTAGGATTTTTTGTCAACGTGGGCGCATACTGTACACTGGCTCAGTAAATGCAATACAATGAAGAGAAACATGCAAAGACTGAATAGAGTCCACTTTTCAGGTGATTTGCTTAAAAGTATAAGTTTAAGGCTTGATTGCAACAGCAAGACAAAATATCTAAAACTGAAAAGGTGAAAAATGAAATACAAAAATATAAGCAAAAATAACTACTGGCCCATTATGAGAAAGTAATTTTTCTTCTTAGTGACCCTTTCGCATACAAACCAGTGTACTGCTTTGCTCAAACCTGGGCTTATAAAGACTAATTTAGACATTTGGGAGAACACACAGCTGACATGTTGAGTTCCATCTAAATTAGCAGCTACATAGTCTAACAAACTTCCTGTATTGCCATGTTGGCCTCTTCTGGGCAGACCACTTACAGTACGCACAAACCCCTATCACCATCATCTCTAAAACTATACCTTTGGTTACTCAAAGCAAAATTAACATAGAAAGGGGTTTTGGTTTCTGACTGCATAATCTACTGTAAAATACAGTGACCTTTTTTGGGTACAGGGGACATTTCGAATGTCAGTCACATTTGGATCAAATGATAACTTCAATATATACATACAGCTCTGGAAAAAAGTAAGAGACCACTGCAAAATTATCAGTTTCTCTGGTTTTACTATTTATAGGTATGTGTTTAGGGTAAAAATAACATTTTTGTTTTATTCTATAAACTACTGACAATATTTCTCCCAAATTCCAAATAAAGATATTGTCATTTAGAGCATTTATTTGCAGAAAATGACAACTGGTCAAAATAACAAAAAAGATGCAGTGTTGTCAGACCTCGAATAATGCAAATAAAATAAGTTCATGTTCATTTTTAAACAACACAATACTAATGTTTTAACTTAGGGAGAGTTCACAAATCAATATTTGGTGGAAACCCTGATTTTCAATCACAGCTTTCATGCGTCTTGGCATGCTCTCCACCAGTCTTTCACATTGATGTTGGGTGACTTTATGCCACTCCTGGCGCAAAAATTCAAGCAGCTCGGCTTTGTTTGATGGCTTGTGACCATCCATCTTCCTCTTGATCACATTCCAGAAGTTTTCAATGGGGTTCAGGTCTGCTGTTTGACCTTGTTCTTATGAACCGCCGTCTTTGACATTTTAAGGATGGAAGCAACCTGACACTCACTGTATCCCTCTGCCAGTAAAGCCAGAATTGAACCCTTCTTTTCCTCACTCAAAACTTTCCTTTTCAACTCTTTTGGCATGGTCAATAGTTATTTTTTTATTAATATTACTTTTGAGGTACTATTAGCACTGTTTTTGCCATCCAGCTGGTCCTATTGCAAGAGGATAGTGATGACCACAGCAGTGGTTTTTATAAATAAGATTTGGTTCATGTGATCACCGAATCAGTACCTAATTCAGTAGAATGAGGTGTGCCTGTGTTGGAATTCAACAGACACTGGAATGGAATGGCTGTCATACATGTAGAGATGCTGATTTAAGAAACATTTGCAGTGGCCTCTTAATTTTTTCCACAGCTTTATGTATGTATGCATGTATGTATGTATATATATATATAAAAATATAAATAAAAAGCTTTCTACCAAGTCACAAAATGAGAAACGTACAAATTAATAGAAAGGAGAAAATAAAATTGTCCCAATATTACAATTAAAATCGGTATGGTGGCAGGGCATGGGGGTAGGCAAAAATGTTGGCGCAAATTGTGCTCTGATCAGCAACTTCATTTCACTTGATTCTTTTTCTTCTATTTAGAGAGTTATATTGTAGACCAGAGACCCAAATTGAGCCTCCTCAGCAACAAGGCAGAAAATAGGTCAACAAGACCAGAGAAATTGAAGAGTTTTGAATATTGCTACACTTCCAAGTCACAATGGCAGTAACATACAGGCTTAGAGTGATCATTTCATTGTTTCACTAGTCTTCATTGTAGATTTCTAACATTGTACGGTGCCATCTTATGGGAAGTTATTGGGTAAATGATTCAAATCATGTCACTCAGACACAGTAACTGTTACAATTTTAAAGCATGATTATTATGCCAGGACAGTCAATCATTCAGATGCTCAACATGGTTTAGGCAAGAGTTTGTTAAGTCACAGCAAAGTTGCTTTTCTAACCTAGCCAATGACTAAAAACAAAAAAGTTACATAATAGTGTACATAAGCAAGTCTGTTGCACGTTTCATATTGTACTATAAAACATTCAAAACATTTACAAGTTACAAATCAATATAATTTGTCATTATGGCAATACGAGGAAAACAATGAGGAGATCTCAATAGTCTCTGGAACTGGTCAGTAGACTAAAGCATGACTTAACGGACACTTTCTTCTTGGAAGCACTTCAGATTTAGAGTCAGGACTATGACGACTCGGAATGATTTAAGACTTCACTCAACATACACAAGAGTAACAGACAAACATTTCAAATGACGGTTATAGATGTTCTAGCTGCCAAAGAAAACTGATCCCAATAGACCGCAAATCACTGCACCAATGAAACACCAAAATAACCAGTAACTTCAGTAAGATTTTCATACAGACTCTTGACTCTTCAGCCAACAAACAGCTGAATTAACTGTAAAACCAGCGGCAAGTATTCAACATTGAAAAGACATGCACATTCCAGTTATGAGCAGTGTTGGGCATCATCCAAAAGAGCTCAGTCTTTCCTTTAGTTGGATCATTAACTGCATACAGTCCAGTAACCCATGGGAGCACCTAAATGCCAACATTACTGCCAACCCTTCCCTTGCCACACTTGACAAAAAACAATACAATTCATAACAATGCCTTCAAATGTGTGTTTTGAGAGAAGCGACAGAATGCTTAGAGTACAAGAGTAACAATTGCATAAAAAAATTACAACATATAAAACAGGAAAGTGTGCTCTCTCGGTTCCTCTTGGTATCCATGTGTGACAGCTGTTCCTGCACAGTGTGTGTATATGTATGTGAGATGAAATTGGGTTTTTGGGCTTCAAATGGCATGTTTCACTCTACCGTCACAGACTTGGCCAGGTTCCTTGGGAAATCCACCTGTATTGGGAGAGAATAGATAGACATTTCAACATTTGCCAAGTTCCAACCCTAAGAAATAGACTACCCATTGTGAAGGCCTACAGTAAGAACCCAACTCCGTGACAGTGCAGTACTCACATCAAAGCCCCTGAGCACGGCCAGGTGGAAGGAGAGCAGCTGCAGGGGGATGACACTCAGGACGCCCTGCAGACAGTCCACACAGTGCGGCACTTTGATGGTGCGGCTCGAGCTCTTGGCGGTCTCGTAGTCATCCTTGTCACAGATCACGATGGGTCGGCCCTGTAAACCAAACAAATGGCATTATGTTTCCAGGACAACGCCGCGTGTCATTTCCTTCAACCTGGAGTTCAGTTTGGAAATGTGAATGTAATAGTTTGGTCCTTCCCTGAAGAATACCTGCTTTCACTTTCTTTTCTGTCGCAAATCCAAAGCCCAGGTCCACATCTGTGGTAGATTAGTGAGTGGTGATATCATTGTGAAATAACTCCTCCAACCTCCCTTGCACCTTATTGTGGTGAATGGAATTGTGAGGTCCATTTGATATTACTGTAAAAACATATCTAATGTGTAAAGTATGTGTGCATAAAGCACTTAATATCCATGTCTTTGAGTCATTGTATTTATTTTATACTGGAAGGTAGGTGGTCACTACAACAGGTAGTACAATCTACCATTTTAACAACCAGATAACATAATTGGCAATGGTTTACTGTGGTTCTAACCTTTCAACAGTTGGGGGGAGGAAAGCTAAATAGTGTGTATCAAGATATTGCGTGTGTGTTGGCAGTTCTTACCGCGCGGGCCACCACCTGCTGCAGTGCGTTCTGACACTTGGTGTAGGTGTGGTCTCTCATGATGATCATGATGACGGGCATGAGTTTGTCGACAAGGGCCAGAGGCCCGTGCTTCAGCTCCCCGGCCAGGATGCCCTCTGAGTGCATGTACGTGATCTCCTTGATTTTCTGGAGAGGAGAGAGGCACAAACACCTCAGTCAGATCGGCAACCACTCACTGCGACTCACATACACACCAGGGACACACAACCCGAGGATCTTATCTTAAATTCTATAGGGAACAGTAGACTGGCCTGGGAACACTAGGTCAGACTGAGGAGTACAGCACACTGACCCAACATTTTCCCTTCACATTTGTGTGCCTCTGTTTGAGATACTGGAGGATTGGCAATACATAGAACTTGAAGAATCCATAAATAGTGTGGAGTATGGTTGCAATTATACAAGAGAGCCGTTTCTAGATCAGTCTAATTATTTGCTGTGATCCAAAACACTTCAGCAGACATTCCTGCAGGCTAGGCTCCATTAGGGCTTGCGTGAGGTTGAGGCAGAACATTTTCTCCACAGCTCTGCAGACTTATTGTGGGCTATTGGAAAGTGATGATAATCTCATTTAGGAGTTGAGAATGGAGTTTTGAGTAGAATTCATGTCTGAAGACACATTATGATAGCTTTACAAAGGGGAGATAGAGGTGGGCGTGCTGACCAGTGCTCCCTCCAAGCAGGTGGCATAGTGGTAGCCTCGGCCCATGATGAGAACACTCTTCTGCTGGTACAGCTCTGTGGCCAGTCTCTGGATCTCATCATCCAGACTCAGCACCTCCTTGATCAGGTCTGACACACACACACACAGCGAGAGACAGAGAGAGAGAGGACAGGAGCAGGTTTACACACGCACAGATAGGTACAAACAGACAAAAAGGAGGTAGATAATAATATTAGCTAATGATATTCCAATACATCTGGGAGAAACAAAAACGTAATGATCTGCTGAATGTCTTGAAACAACACGTCAGAAAATACATTTCATCACACCAACCCCCTGGATGAAAGACAGTACAGTAAACTAACACCCATCCTATGGCACAGTCCAGCAGGCCACTGTTAACAGGTCCTGGAGGCTGGGGTCAATGGGGGCTTGGGTTCAGGGAGAGGGACAGAGCGGAGTGTGGCATTCCTAACCAAATTCGTTTACAATAAGGGAAACCCGATCCCATCATAGGCTTTGGGTCCAGAGGAGTGTGCCAGGGCAAACAGCCAGGACTGACCCAGCTGCTGAAACCTCCTCCCTCTCCCCTGTACTCTCCCTCTCGCTGAGGACGCCTCCACAGCACAGCCCTTGCATTAGCTCTCTGATATCAAAGTATATTGCTCAAACAAAAACAGTGAAGTTGGAGCGACGTGGCTGCCAGATAACCGAGACAGACCCAGGAGGCCTACTAACATGCGTGTGCTTTCCCAGCTCTCTCTGGCTGCCCTGACTCTGACCATCACCTCCACCTCTGACCATCACCTCCGACCTTGACCATTACCTCCGACAATTCTCAGACTCTGACCATTACCTCCGACCATTACCTCCGACCATTACATCAGACTGTTATCTCCGACTCCCGACCATTACCTCTGACCATTAACCCAGACGCCGACCATTACCGCCGACTCCGACCATTACCTCTGTCCATTACCTCCGACCATTCACATGATCTGTCACATGATCTCAGTATATATACACCTGTTCTGAAAGGCCCCAGAGTCTGCAACACCACTAAGCAAGGGGCACCACCAAGCAAGCGGCACCATGAAGACCAAGGAGCTCTACAAACAGGTCAGGGACAAAGTTATAAATCAGGGTAGGGTTATAAAAAAATATCAGAAACTTTGAACATTCCACGGAGCACCAATAAATTCATTATTAAAAAATGGAAAGAATATGGCACCACAACAAACCTGCCAAGAGAGTGCCGCCCACCAAAACTCACAGACCTGGCAAGGAGGGCATTAATCAAAGAGGCAACAAAGATACCAAAGATAACCCTGAAGGAGCTGCAAAGCTCCACAGCAGAGATTGGAGTATCTGTCCATATGACCACTGTAAGCCGTACACCCCACAGAGCTGGGCTTTACGGAAGAGTGGCCAGAAAAAAGCCATTGCTTAAAGAAAAAAATAAGCAAACATGTTTGGTCTTCGCCAAAAGGCATGTGGGAGACTCCCCAAACATATGGAAGAAGGTACTCTGGTCAGATGAGACAAATGTAGCTTTTTGGCCATCAAGGAAAACGCTGTCTGGCGCAAACCCAACACCTCTCATCACCACGAGAACACCATCCCCACAGTGAAGCATGATGGTGGCAGCATCATGCTGTGGGGATGTTTTTCCATCGGCAGGGACTGGGAAACTGGTCAGAATTGAAGGAATGATGGATCGCGCTAAATATAGGGAAATTCTTGAGGGAAACCTGTTTTAGTCTTCCTGAGATTTGAGACTGGGACGGAGGTTCACCTTCCAGCAGGACAATGACCCTAAGCATACTGCTAAAGCTACACTCGAGTGGTTTAAGGGGAAACATTTAAATGTCTTGGAATGGCCTAGTCAAAGCCCAGACCTCAATCCAATTGTGGTATGACTTAAAGATTGCTGTACACCAGCGGAACCCATCCAACTTGAAGGCGCTGGAGCAGTTTTGCCTTGAAGAATGGGAAAACATCCCAGTGGCTAGATGTGCCAAGCTTATAGAGACATACCCCAGGAGACTTGCAGCTGTAATTGCTGCAAAAGTTGTCTCTACAAAGTATTGACTTTGGGGGGGGGGGGTGAATAGTTATGCATGCTCAAGTTCTGTTTTTCTGTCTTATTTGTTGTTTGTTTCACAATAAAAAAAACATTTTAATTCCAGGTTGTAAGGCAACAAAATAGGAAAAATGCCAAGGGGGGTGAATACTTTCGCAAGCCACTGTACCTCTGACTCTGACCATTACCTCCGACCCCGACCATTACCTCGGACCCATACCATTACCTCGGACCCATACCATTACCTCCGACCCATACCATTACCTCCGACCCATACCATTACCTCCGACCATTACCTCCGACTTTGACCATTACCTCTGTCCATTACCTCCGACAATTATCTCAGACTCTGACCATTACCTCCTACTCTGACCATCACCTCTGACCATTACCTCTGACCATCACCTCTGACCATCACCTCCGACTGAGCATTACCTCTGACCATCACCTCCGACTCCGACCATTACCTCCGACTCCGACCATTACCTGCTGCTGTCTATATTACTGTAGGTCAGTACAAGTGTGTCGAATAATCTACACATCCCTGTGAGCATCACACCGACATTAGCGTTTATGGTTATGAACAGTACAATGCAATGTCTTGGTAGATGTGCATGTGGTCTGGCCTACCTGGCAGAACTCTCAGGCCCTGGATGATCTCACGTCGCCGTGGTTGCATGGAGATCCTGTCATCACACATCAACAGCGCAAACATGATCAGAGCCACAAACTGACTGGTGTAGGCCTGCAAAACAACAGAACAGACACAGTCAGACATAATGCATGCTTAATGCTCTGGGAGGAATCAGACAGTACAGAAAGATTGAGGTACGGTTGTCGCCCAGCTGCTGTTCTCTCTCAGCAGGTGAGAGGTGAGCATCACACCTCTAGGGCTGCTGGATCTAAACAAAAGGCATCCTTACAGTCTTCTCTCTCTATCCTGGGCCAGAGATGACAGAACCCTGAGCTAAGCAACGCACCTGGGTTGCCAGATCCCCCCCGTTGTTTGCTTTGCAGTACCGTTATTGGAGCTGTAGCGTCTTGTCCGCCTGCTCTGGTTGCCTGTGCTGGTCTCCAGCTCCACATTAATAATGTGGACCTGATGAGAGGTGGATGGAGAGCTGGGCTGGACACAGATAGGCCTACACAGATAGGCCCTCTACTGCAGGACAGGGCAGTGGAGAGCTAGCTAGCATTATGAGCACACAATCTGGCAACGCTACCGATGAACACATCCCCTGACAATAAGACACTAGCAAAACAAACAGCACAGAAACAGCTGGCACTAACTAGAACTTAAGAGAGTAAAACCATGATGTGCTTCACGTTTATGTTTCTGAAAAGTGTCACAACACCCACACGTCTCAGCCCAAGCCTGCCGTCATCATCCACCCTCCCCACTCTGGAGGCATGTTAGAAGGCTCTCCGAGCCCGTTTGGGAGATTTAAATCAACGTTCTTCAAGAGGAGCCAAGTCATTTGACAGGACCCCTGGACGCAGCAGTGGCAGCATCTAAAACCGTCACACAGTCCTAGCCATCCACTCAGATTGTGGCAGTGCATTTAATCCGCATATTAAAGCCACGGTCCTCTTCTATGTTAAAGCCCCCATCCCTCTATCCAGAATGTCGACAGAGGAGAGCAGCTCATGCCACATGCTAGCCTGTCACACACACTGACGCAACCATGTCCCAGAGGCCTCAAACGTGGGCAGTATTTCTCCTCATGTCAGGCAATACAGCATGACAAGCAGTTACATCAAATATTTAAGTGTACAAGCATGCTCCAAGTTTTCTATTTGGACAAAGACCACAGGTGGCTCTCATTTGCTTACATTCACTCCCACAATCGCTATTGTTTGGATAAGGGGGTGAAGTGAATGGTGAAATATATACAAGAAGAGGTGTCGATCTGAGCAAAGCCATCCCCTTCATTCTCCCGGACCTTGTTTAGCAGGCCTAGTTCTGCGGACAGCCTCGATTCTGGGACGAATCATAAAAACAAGACGTCACCAGAGGCATGCAGTTGAATGTCCCCCAGAAAGTTAATCTGAATAATATTGTTATTATGAAAAGCTACCACGAACGGAGTCAGTGGGAGCGTGTATTGAGCAGTGGGTGAAATACATAATCTCCTCTGATAAGTGATAAGCTGTGCTGTTCTGGGTTGGGTGTGTGGGCCTGGGCCAGCCAAGCAGTAAAGGATGGCGTCTTTGAGACGTGCTCTGCAGGCTTTCTGCTCTGTGCTGGAGACTTGGACCTACTGGAGGGTCCCTGAGCCAAGCCTGAGCGCCAGAGCAGGGAGGGACCTGCCTCTCTCTCGCTCTCTGCAGCTGGGACTGGGACTCCACTGCTGAGTGGAACTCACTCCAGTCATCTCCAACCCCACTCTGGCCAACTGTAGGATCACTGCTCAGAGTAGAGGGGGAGGGGAACCATGGATTCCTACATTTCACAGTGTAAAGATGAGAATATCAGGCACTATGTGTTCTGTGTAGAGCAGTGGGATATAGCAGTTTCAAATAACCTCTTCCAAAATGATCCAGACACTTATCTCAGAGGAAGTTCTCTCATTTCAAGAGAAAGAGGGGTTAACTACATGTGCTATGCATTGACATTAGTGTCCAAGTACTTCAGGGTTTGCATTAACTATACAGAAAACCAACAGTGCAGTAGATTGGCATGAACCTCATGTTATTGCAAAAATAAATACACTACATGACCAAAGGTATGTGGAAACCTGCTCGTCGAACATCTCATTCCAAAATCATGGTCATTAATATGGAGTTGGTCCCGCCTTTGCTGCTATAACAGCCTCCACTCTTCAGGGAAGGCTTTCCACTAGATGTTGGAAGATTGCTGCGGGGACTTGCTTCCATTCAGCCACAAGAGCATTAGTGAAGTCGGGCACTGATGTTGCTCGATTAGGCCTGGCTCGCAGTCGGCGTTCCAATGAATTCCAAATGTGTTCGATGGGGTTGAGGTCAGGGCTCTGTGCAGGCCAGTCAAGTTCTTCCACACCGATCTCGACAAACCATTTCTGTATGGACCTCACTTTGTGTGCGGGGGCATTGTCATGCTAAAAGAGGAAAGGGCCTTCCCCAAACTGTTGCCACAAAGTTGGAAGCACAGAATAGTCTAGAATGTAATTGTATGCTGTAGCGTTAAGATTTCCCTTCACTGGAACTAAGGGGCTTAGCCCGAACCATGAAAAACAGCCCCAGACCATTATTCCTCCTCAACCAAACTTTACAGTTGGCACTATGCATTGGGGCAGGTAGCATTCTCTTGGCATCCGCCAAACCAAGATTTGTCCGCCGGACTGCCATCACTCCAGAGAACGCGTTTCCACTGCTCCAGAGTACAACTGTGGCGAACTTTACTCCACTCCAGCCGACGCTTGGCATTGTTCATGCTGATCTTAGACTTGTGTGCAGCTGCTCAGCAATGGAAACCCATTTCATGAAGCTCCCGACGAACAGTTCTTGTGCTGACATTTCTTCCAGAGGCAGTTTGGAACTCAGTAGTGACTGTTGCAACCGAAGACAGACTATTTTTACGCGCTATACGCTTCAGCACTCGGTGGTCCCGTTCTGTGAGCTTGTGTGGCCTACCACTTCATGGCTGAGCTGTTGTTGCTCCTGTATGTTTCCACTTCACAATAACAGCACTTACAGTTGACTGGGGCAGCTCCAACAGGGCCGAAATTTGACGAACTGACTTGTTGGAAAGGTGGCATCCTATGACAGTGCCACATTGAAAGTCACTGAGCTCTTCAGTTAGGCTATTCTACTGCCAATGTTTGTCTATGGAGATCGCATGGCTGTGTGCTGGATTCTATACACCGGTCAGGAACAGGTGTGGGTGAAATAGCCGAATCCACTAATTTGAAGGGGTGTCCACATACTTTTGTATTTATAGTGTATTTACGGGCCAGTTATGGAGGCTATTAAATAGACCAAGCCATGCGAAACTTCCTCTGGACTGCATAATTCTACTATAATTGAGGAGACCATTCCATTCATCTCCAACAACCCTAATGCAGTCTGACCAACTGAAACACTCCGGAGCTGGATAGGAGGAATTTCCCTGCCCTGAGAGAAGACTGATGGTATACCCTGAATGGAGAGTTTCCCCAGACATTTCAACCTGCCTGCGTTTTTTCCCACCATAGAAGTGAAAAAAGGTTGACCAGAGCTGAGGATGGTGAAGGGAAGGTTTCCTGTTTCAACAGGACAGTATGTGAAACAATAGGAAAGGCATCAGCCTGGAGAAATGACTCTGTCCCCTCACCTTGGTGCTGGCCACTCCTATCTCTGGCCCAGCGTTGATGTGCACCCCACAGTCGGTCTCTCTGGAGATGGAGCTGCCCACTGTGTTGGTAACACCAACCGTCAGGGCTCCTCTCTCCTTACAGTAGTGCAGGGCCATCAGGCTGTCTGCTGTCTCACCTGCACACAATGGTAGCAATGCAATCAGCACTCAGGCTAGATACTGTAAGCGGTTACCACTACATGGACTATGTGTAGATCCTGCATACGATATCAGATTCCATAGACAGGAATACAGGACATCATCAAGCCTATATATTCAGTATAAACACGAAGTCAGCAGTAAAGGAATTGCTTTGGGTGCATTGGCATAGGGCCAAGCATTTACTTGAACGAGACATTGCTTGTACGAGACAAGCCGTATTGTGTAAAGACAAAGACAGACACAGTGAAAATGTTCAGGTCCCTAGAGAGAGAGAGACACTTCAAGATTACGCCGATCCTCCCACCTGATTGGCTGATGAAGAAGCAGACGTCGTCTCGGAACACTGGTGTGTTTCTATCCAGGAAGTCGCTGGCCAGCTCCACCATAACAGGCAGCTCAGTCAGCTCTTCCAGTACCTGGCGAGTCTGGTGGGAAAGATTAGCACTGTTCATCAGCACTGGATCACACAAGACATCCACACTGAAAAATATGTTTCTATGTACAACCCAGAGCAATAACTTACTTATGTCTTTGTTTGTATAGTTGTTTTTCCTATCTTGAAGCCTTAGGCTCTAGTTGACTCCATGTTATGCTGGTGACCTAATATTCCTGCCTTATAAAAGGGAATCTGGTACTCACCGCCACCCCAGCATGGTAGCTGGTGCCACAGGCGATGAGGATGAGCCGTCGACACCTTTGGATCTCTTTAATGTGATCCTTCAGTCCACCCAGGATTACTACAGATACAAACAGAAACAGCCAATCAAAATACAGTTATCAAATATCACTTTCCTTGGTATGTATTCAGAGAGAAATTGATCATGAGGATACAACCTTGATGGGTATAATGACAGACATTGTGTGTTACACTGGAACTGTCATCTCACCCGTGTTGTCATCAAAGTTGACCCTTCCTCTCATGGTGTTGACCACAGACTCTGGCTGTTCAAAGATCTCCTTCTGCATAAAGGAGCTGTAGTTACCTGAAAAGCGTTCCAAAAAACATTGGATCAGAGTCTTCAACATCACAAAAAAGTGTTAGGAATTTTATAAAGGTTACGGTTGCCACATAATGAATACTAAAAGTAAGCCAGTCTGGAAAACATGTTGTTTTGCTGCTCTAATTCAGCCTTTTATAGCTGTTGGGAGATAAATAACACAGGAGATAAATGATGACATAATGATCTTGTGTCTTTAATACAGAAATCCATCATCAGTTGTCTTCACTAAATTAAATAAACAAGAGGCAACAGGGAGATGGTGATTTCCTCGAACGGCCCTTTGTGACAATGAAATACGAGAATGTTTTGAAGCCTGCTTTTGCTCTGACCGTAATTTAGGTCATGCGAATTAGGTTATTTCAGCAGAGCTCCTGGAATGGAGGCTAAGGAGGAGAGAGAGGCAGGGGCTTAAATGACAGAACCGCAAAGGAATGTCTCCTGAAACTGACTGGCAGTATATCAGCATCCTCTGCTGGAGACAAGGGGAAGTGGGAGAATTCTGACTATTCAGGGGGGAAATCATCTCTTTACAGCAGAACGCTGAGAATTCAGATCTGACATGAAAGCTTTAGTCACAGTCTGCTACACAGGAAGCTGATGTTTCCGAGCAGCGAGCTCAATATAGAAGTGCTTGGTGTGATCTCTGCAAAGGAGCTAGGGTGTCTGAGCCCTTACCTTTGATGCAGGCCTCTTCCCTGGGGACCAGAGTCAGCCAGGAAGCCCCATAAACACCTGGCTGTGTGTGTGTGTGTGTAGGCCTCAGAGCAACCTCAGTAGTATAACAGATCTGAAACCTGCTGTTATTTACAGCTGGCACAGTAATAAAAGGCTCCTGGACTAAAAGTACAGGGCAGGGTACTGAAACACTAGAATATGGTGGTATACCTGTACACACACAGCCTTTGAGACTTGGTCGAGGCAGGGGAAAGTGTGTGTGTGCTATGTGTTGCATTAACAAGTAAATATGACCCTTTTATACTGTACTATTTGTGACTGTATTGACAATGATAATAATCAATTACAGGCATTCTAGGGCTCTCATTAATTCCTAGTAACACCATCACCATCATCTTTACAGAGGGTAGACCCATGACAGTGCTATGCCCCCAGCCTCTACCCTCCACCTTCCCCTCACCCTTCATGATCTGCTGCAGCTCCATCTGCAGGGTCTGGATGGCGCGGGCAGGGTGGTCTCCGGCTGTACGCTTGATGCGGTGGATGGTGAGCCGTCCGTCCGTCACCGCTGCCACGTCATCATCCTCCAGGAAGATCACCCGGTTGGTGTGCTCAATCACCGCGCTGCCATGAGAACAGTGCAACAGTCAATCCTAATTCGTTGTTATGCAAATATCATGACGTTGTTAATTCCCACTTTCCTAGGAGACCTTCACCAAACAACTGTCTAGACTGATTCTGAGAGTATCCAAAAATAAACCTAACATTGTATGAGTGGGATATCACTACTATTGAGTAAAATAATGAGGAGTCTGACCTGGCATCAGAGGCAAAGTAGTACTCCACAGACTTCTTGTCCTCAGCAAAGAGTGTGTGGCAGGTGTCCTGCTCCATCCTGGGCAGGGTGGGGCAGCCCTTCTTGTCCTTACCAGCTGGGAACATACAATACAGTATGTTAGACACACAACAGCTCAGGGCTGCTCATCTTCTTTCACTCTGACATTGAGAGCAGTTAATTTAATAACGTACATGATCGGTACAGGATAGGAATGTGATCTGTGGACAGCTTGTGGTCACTTTTCACCCCAATAAGCAGAGGACCTCCCCTCCTATTCACATGTAAACACAAACAATTACAATAATTAGAGAAAATGAAAGATACATCATAAATGGATAGTATTCCTTTACAATTCAAGGAGTATCCAGAAGTGTAGAAGCAGTGTACCGGGTGCCTACAGCCTCCCCAGGGTAATGGACACTCTTGAAGACCAGGGCAAAAGCTCCCTCCTAAGAGATAAGATAGAACAGTGTTAATCATGAGACGGGTCACAAGACCTCATCTCTGGACAGTTTTAGGAGAAGCTCTGTAGATGAACAGGCTCTTACCAGCTGCTGGGTCACTCTCTCCACCAGAGTAGCAAAGCTGAGGTCTTCACTCTCACGGTTGTCATACATGTACTTCACCAGCTTGGCAATGGTCTCTGTGTCTGTCTCAGACTCAAACTCATAACCCTTGCTCTCCTGTGGAATGGTAGAATGTTTATTTTTTTAAATTTCACCTTTATTCAACCAGGTAAGCCAGTTGAGAACAAGTTCTCATTTACAACTGTGACCTGGGCAAGATAAAGCAAAGCAGTGCGATAAAAACAACAACAGAGTTACATATGGAATAAACAAAACATACGGTCAATAACACAATAGAAAATCTATATACAGTGTGTGCAAATGTAGTAAGTTATGGAGGTAAGGCAATAAATAGGCCATAGTGCAAAATATGGGGTGCAAATGAGCAAAATAAATAACAATGTAAATAACAATATGGGGATGAGGTAGTTGGGTGGGCTAATTACAGATGGGCTGTGTACAGGTGCAGTGATCGGTAAGCTGCTCTGAACACTGATGCTTAAAGATAGTGAGGGAGATAAGTGTCTCCAGCTTCAGAGATTTTTGCAGTTCGTTCCAGTCATGAGGCAGAGAACTGGAAGGAATGGCAGCCAAAGGAGGTGTTGGCTTTGGGGATGACCAGTGAGATATACCTGCTGGAACGCATACTAAGGGTGGGTGTTGCTATAGTGACCAATGAGCTAAGATAAGGCGGGGATTTGCCTAGAAGTGATTTATAGATGACCTGGAGCCAGTGGGTTTGGCGACGAATATGTAGTGAGGGCCAGCCAACGAGAGCGTACAGGTCACAATGGTGGGTAGTATATGGGGCTTTGGTGACAAAACTGATGGCACTGTGATAGACTACATCCAATTTGCTGAGTAGAGTGTTGGAAGCTATTTTGTAAATGACATCGCCGAAGTCAAGGATCGGTAGGATAGTCAGTTTTACGAGGGCATGTTTAGCATCATGAGTGAAGGAGGCTTTGTTGCGAAATAGGAAGCCGATTCTAGATTTAACTTTGGATTGGAGATGCTTAATGTGAGTCTGGAAGGAGAGTATACGGTCTAACCAGACACCTAGGTATTTGTAGTTGTCCACATATTCTAAGTCAGACCCGCCGAGAGTAGTGATTCTAGTCGGGCGGGAGGGTGCAAGCAGCGTTCGATTGAAGAGCATGCATTTAGTTTTACTAGCGTTTAAGAGCAGTTGGAGGCCACGGAAGGAGTGTTGTATGGCATTGAAGCTCGTTTGGAGGTTTGTTAACAGTGTCCAATGAAGGGCCAGATGTACAGTGAGGGAAAAAAATTATTTGATCCCCTGCTGATTTTGTACGTTTGCCCACTGGCAAAGAAATGATCAGTCTATAATTTAATGGTATGTTTATTTGAACAGTGAGAGACAGAATAACAACAACAAAATCCAGAAAAATGTGTCAAAAATGTTATAAATTGATTTGCATTTTAATTAGGGAAATAAGTATTTGAACCCCTCTCAATCAAAAAGATTTCTGGCTCCCAGGTGTCTTTTATACAGGTAACGAGCTGAGACTAATCTCAGCTTGTTACCTGTATAAAAGACACCTGTCCACAGAAGCAATCAATCAGATTCCAAACTCTCCACCATGGCCAAGGCCAAAGAGCTCTCCAAGGATGTCAGGGACAAGATTGTAGACCTACACAAGGCTGGAATGGGCTACAAGACCATCGGCAAGCAGCTTGGTGAGAAGGTGACAACAGTTGGTGCGATTATTCGCAAATGGAAGAAACACAAAAGAACGGTCAATCTCCCTCGGCCTGGGGCTCCATGCAAGATCTCACCCCGTGGAGTTGCAATGATCATGAGAATGGTGAGGAATCAGCCCAGAACTACAAGGCAGCTGGGACCATAGTCACCAAGAAAACAATTCGTAACACACTACAAGTCGTCTTGACTTCTTTCTTATCTCATTCTCGTTGGCACCAAAAGTAAAAAAAAGTGTTGATAGGGGACAGAATGCGGTCGGACCATCATATAATAGGCATATACATTACTCTGACTGAATTTCCACGTGGGCGAGGATATTGGAAATTTAATCAAAGCCTATTAGATGATAATTTATTTATAATTAGAACAAAGGAATTTATAACCGACTTTTTCCAACATAACATAGGTACAGCGAATCCCCTTATTGTATGGGACACCTTTAAATGTGCCTTTAGAGGCCATGCAATTCAGTACTCATCTCGAAAACAAAAGCAATTTAGGTCAAAAGAGTTTATACTAAGAAAGGAAATAGAAAGTCTAACAGAACAGATAGATGGCAATAAAAACTGTAACATAGAGGCTCAGAATAAATTAGAGGAAAAACAAAAAGAAATGGAAAAACTTATTCAAGAAAGATCAAGTGTAATATATTATAAAAATAAAGCAAACTGGATGGAATATGGGGAAAAATGCACAAAATTCTTTTTTAATCTTCAACATAGGAATGCTACCAAAAAGAACTTAATGAAACTGGTTACAATTGACGGAGTCACCCATAATTCACCTAATGATATTTTGAAGGAAGAAACAAAGTATTTTAAGCATATGTTTTCTTTTCAGTCGCCTCCATCTCCTCTAACTGAAGCTAATTGTAGAGATTTTTTTTCTATTGATAATGTCAAATTAACAGCCACACAGAAAGACTCATGTGAAGGTGAAATTACAGAGGAGGAACTTCTGGATGCAATTAAAGACTTTAAGTCCGGGAAAACTCCAGGGTTGGATGGCATACCAATCGAGGTATACCAAACCTTTTTTGATATACTAAGAGGACCGTTATTAGCATGTTTTAACCACTCCTATGTAAATGGTAGATTATCTGACACTCAAGAAGAAGGTCTGATCTCATTATTACTGAAACAGGATACAAGTGGAAAATATAAAGATCCAGTCCATTTACAAAATTGGAGGCCCCTTACACTTGTGTTGTGATGCAAAAATCCTAGCAAAATGTATAGCGCATAGAATTAAAAAGGTATTGTCGGATATTATTCATTCTAATCAGACAGGTTTTTTACATGGAAGATACATTGGAGATAATATAAGGCAAGTATTGGAAACAATAGAACACTATGGAAAATATGGGAAACCAGGCCTGCTATTCATAGCAGACTTCGAAAAAGCATTTGATAAAGTTCGACTGGAATTTATATATAAATGCCTGGAGCATTTCAATTTTGGAGAATCTCTTATAAAATGGGTCAAAATCATGTATAGTAACCCTAGGTGTAAAATAGTAAATAATGGCTATTTCTCAGAAAGTTTCAAACTGTCAAGAGGAGTGAAACAAGGTTGTCCACTATCGGCATATCTATTTATTGTGGCCATCGAGATGTTAGCTATTAAAATCAGATCCAAGAATAATATCAGAGGATTAGAAATACAGGGCTTAAAAACAAAGGTGTCATTGTACGCAGATGATTCATGTTTTCTTTTAGATCCACAACTAGAATCCCTCCACAGCCTCATAGAGGATCTAGATACATTTTCTAACCTCTCTGGATTAAAACCAAATTATGACAAATGTACTATATTACGTATTGGATCACTAAAAAATACAATTTTTACATTACCATGTAGTTTACCAATAAAATGGTCTGATGGTGATGTGGATATACTCGGAATACATATCCCAAAGGAAATAAATGATCTCACTTCAATAAATTTTAATAGAAAGTTAGCAAAAATAGATAAGATCTTACTACCATGGAAAGGAAAATACCTGTCAATTTGTGGAAAAATCACCCTGATTAACTCTTTAGTATTATCCCAGTTTACCTATTTGCTTATGGTCTTGCCTACGCCTAGCAAACAGTTTTTTAAATTATATGAGAAAAAAATATTCAATTTTATTTGGAACGGCAAGCCAGACAAAATTAAAAGAGCATATTTATATAATGAATATGAATTCGGAGGACAGAAATTATTAAATATTAAAGCATTAGACCTATCACTAAAATCTTCAGTCATCCAAAAGTTATACTTAAATCCGAACTGGTTCTCAAGCAAATTAGTAAGATTGTCTCACCCACTGTTCAAGAAAGGCCTTTTTCCCTTTATTCAGATTACAACCTCTCACTTTCAGTTATTTGAAAAGGAAATAATCTCCCAAATGTCACTATTTCTAAAACAAGCCATAGAAAGTTGGTTGCAATTTCAATTTAATCCTCCAGAAACGACAGAACAAATAATGCAACAAATATTGTGGTTAAATTCAAATATACTAATTGACAAAAAACCTTTATTTTTTGACAGAATGTTTAAAAAAGGTATAATCTTCGTAAATGATATCATCGGTAGGACTGGTGGAGTTATGTCGCACATGCAGCTAACAAAAACATATGGAAATGTCTGCTCTACCCAAAATTACAACCAAATAATTGCAGCCTTACCGCAAAAGTGGAAGAGGAAAGTTGAAGGGGGAGAAAGTAAGGAACTTGTCTGTCGGCCTTGCATTAAAGAACATAATTGGTTAAGGAAAACTGTGATAAATAAAAAAGTATATCAGTTTCACTTAAGGACCAAAGGATTGACAGCCGTCCCATATAGATTGCAAAATAGTTGGGAAGAGATCTTTGACGTACCGATCCCATGGCATAGTGTTTATGAACTGACACGCAAAACGACACCGGATTCAAAAATTAGAATCTTTCAATTTAAATTATTATATAAAATTCTTGCTACCAATAGAATGTTATTTATATGGGGGATACAATCTTCCCAGCTCTGCAGATTTTGCTGTGAAGAGATAGAATCATTAGATCATTTGTTTTGGTTCTGTCCATTTGTAGCTTGTTTTTGGACACAGGTCCAGGAATGGCTAAAGGATTGCAATATTTACCTGGAACTAACCTTGCAGATAGCATTACTGGATGATCTGAAAAGTCATAGTCAATCAATCAATAATATAATAATACTTTTAGCAAAAATGTTTATTTTTAATTCACAATCTGTAGAAGCAATGAGAATAGAAAGGTTCAGAACTTTTGTAAAACATCACAGTACGGTTGAAATATATATGGCAAATAGAAATCCTATATGGATGGTGTTAAGAGATAGATGGGAGGTATTGAATAGAGTTGAAGGATGGGACTAATAACAAATAACAACAAATAATAACAAAGATAGCTAATAATGTAAGCATACTGTGTCCATAATAAGTATATAGGTTGTATGTTGGGAGCTTTTGGGAAAGAGCACAGTTAGAAAGATATGGCATTTAGAAGCAAACCGGATGGACATCATGAAAATGATCGGAGAGGTTGAGAGTAGAAGAAGTTCAGGAGCAAATAAATAAATAAATAAATAAATAAATAAATAAAGTATATATATATATATATAGATATAGAATTATTGTAAAATTAACTCTGTCCATAAGGTGTAGATAGTAAGTATAGACCGGAAGTAGAGGCCTGGGCGTTGTTGTTCACTAATTTACTCCAAGTAGGGAAAGGATGGTGGGGTTGAAAAGTAATAAAGGGGAATATATATATAAAAAATAAAAATAAACATGGGGGATTGGAAGTGATGCAGACAATTACATTGATAGAAGATACAATCTATCTGCAATATTAAGCTGATCCATCCCCCCGAAGGAAAAAAAAAATAAAATAAAAAAATAAATAAAAAATAAACACACTACACCGTGAAGGACTGGAATCCTGCAGCGCCCGCAAGGTCCCCCTGCTCAAGAAAGCACATATACATGCCCGTCTGAAGTTTGCCAATGAACATCTGAATGATTCCGAGGAGAACTGGGTGAAAGTGTTGTGGTCAGATGAGACCAAAATTGAGCTCTGGCATCAACTCAACGTGTTTGGAGGAGGAGGAATGCTGCCTATGACCCCAAGAACACCATCCCCACCGTCAAACATGGAGGTGGAAACATTATGCTTTGGGGGTGTTTTTCTGCTAAGGGGACAGGACAACTTCACCGCATCAAAGGGACGATGGACGGGGCCATGTACCGTCAAATCTTGGGTGAGAACCTCCTTCCCTCAGCCAGGGCATTGAAAATGGGTCGTGGATGGGTATTCCAGCATGACAATGGCCCAAAACACACGGCCAAGGCAACAAAGGAGTGGCTCAAGAAGAAGCACATTAAGGTCCTGGAGTGGCCTAGCCAGTCTCCAGACCTTAATCCCATAGAAAATCTGTGGAGGGAGCTGAAGGTTCGAGTTGCCAAACGTCAGCCTCGAAACCTTAATGACTTGGAGAAGATCTGCAAAGAGTGGGACAAAATCCCTCCTGAGATGTGTGCAAACCTGGTGGCAAACTACAAGAAACGTCTGACCTCTGTGATTGCCAACAAGGGTTTTTCCACCAAGTACTAAGTCATGTTTTGCAGAGGGGTCAAATACTTATTTCCCTCATTAAAATGCAAATCAATTTATAACATTTTTGACATGCGTTTTTCTGGATTTTTTTGTTGTTATTCTGTCTCTCACTGTTCAAATAAACCTACCATTAAAATTATAGACTGATAATTTCTTTGTCAGTGGGCAAACGTACAAAATCAGCAGGGGATCAAATACTTTTTTCCCTCACTGTATGTAAAATGGTGTCGTCTGCGTAGAGGTGGATCTGCAGTCACCAGCAGCAAGAGCGACATCATTTATATACACAGATAATAGAGTCGGCCCGAGAAGTTAACCCTGTGGCACCCCCATAGAGACTGCCAGAGGTCCAGACAACAGGCCCTCCGATTTGACACATTGAACTCTATCTGAGAAGTAGTTGGTGAACCAGGCGACGCAGTCATTTGAGAAACAAAGGCTATTTAGTCTGCCTATAAGAATGCGGTGATTGACAGTCAAAAGCCTTGGCCAGGTCGATGAAGATGGCTGCACAGTACTGTCTTCTATCGATCACGGTTATTATATCGTTTAGGACCTTGAGCGTGGCTGAGGTGCACCCATGACCAGCTCGGAAACCAGATTGCATAGCGGAGTCATGGAAGTCTGATAACGCTTGCTGGTAGCCTTGGTTAATGAAAGAAACAGACTGCGTTAGGCAAAAAATTTAATATGTTGAAACGTTGCTCTGCTCACCAGGAATTTCCGCAGGTCTTTGTAGTTTGTGATAATTCCATTATGAACGACAATGAACTCTAAAGAAAGAAGATGATAGACACATACACTTATATACTAAAAACATCCCTATTTACTCTATATAGTCAGCCAATATCTAGCAGAATGTGTGCCTATACTTAATTTTACTACAAGTTTAGGGAATGTCTGTAGTACTGACCGTTGCTCTTGTCAGACCTATGTGGGTGGCTGTTGACAGGGCTGGGGGCACCATGGGTAGCCCAGCGAGTGTGGGCGATGCCAAGGTGGACATCAAACTCCACATCCATGTCCATGTCCTGCTGCTCTGTGGGACAAACACAAACACTGTTGAAAGGCAAGCTTCATAAAGTAATTTACATGCACTCTACATGAAGTAGGTTTGAGCCATTTTCATTGTATGAATTCTATTCAAATCCACTTATCTAATCAGTAAACATTCTTACAAATGCTGGCAACAGTCCTTAAGCCCTCAAACACATCAAATGTAGTCTTACTGGTGATCTCATCGTCAAGAGCCTTCACTTTTCCGCTCTGCTTGATCAGCTGAATAGACCGGGCATTGGCCTCCCATTCTTTGCCATTCCCTCCATCAATTCCAACACCTGGCAAAAAGAGAGAGAATCGTATTTCTACAGAGTAGTCAAATATGGCTCTGTTGCGTGATTTTGTACAAGTTATTTTACACATGCTAGTCTGACAGCAGACAGAGCATAAATGTAACCGTGATTAGATTGGATAGTCCTGCTCAAGACTAGCGCATACAATGGACAATCATTGTTTTTAACATTAGGAGACAGAACAAAAACATGACTCCTGTAGATAAGCAGCAGAATAACTGACGCCTGCCGACGGGGCCTACAGTGAGAGGGAAAGTCAGCCGATAAACATGCAGACAGACAGACGCAGTCAGTGTGTTGACACAAGCCATCTCCCTCAGCTCACCGGCAGAGTCGTAGCCACGGTACTCCAGACGGAGCAGGCCTTTGAGGAGGATCTCCAGGATCTCCCGGCGAGTCCGTGGCACGTGGTAGTTCAGATAGGCAAAAATTCCTGACGGGAAGGAAGGTACAGGGAAACAGATTTCAACTAGGAAACACAAACAAAATATAAAGCAAAGGAATTTCACAACTGTTTTAAGGGATTAAGTGAACAAAGCCTAATAGTGGGTATTACTGTTTGCTTTTGGTGGTCTGTGATTAGGTCAATAGAGACCAAATAAAACAATATGCATACTTTCTGTTCATATAGGCCTATTGCGTAGGAAACGCTAAAGGTTCCATTGACTAGCTAGCCTAGCTGATGTAATCTGCAGGCTGTTCAATAACTGGCTCATTAAAATTCACAGCAACCTCAAAACAACAACTACCCCAAGAATTTCCACATGTGAAAACGTTCAAATATTAACGCAATTTTTAAAAAAGACAACAGCTCTGGAGCTATCAGTCATCTTGCAGGAATTGCAATTTGTCAGTGACCTCAAACTATGTATACACTGATAGTTAGTCGACAAACAAGAACAGAAACCTGTCTGACTTGTTCAACCTAATTGGAAACAGTTTTGTGTGGAACTATACATCTGTTCCTGAGGGCACAGCCTGCCCTGGATGTTAAGCTACCAGACAGGTTTTACATGGGAAGTCACCTTGAGACGTGGATACTGGGAGAGTCAACGGAACAGGGCGTTCTAGTGTTGGGGAAATATGTTGACAGAGGGACCAGGTGCAGGGCACTACACTAGTACTCCACAGGAGCTGCTGTAGCCTATGCTTCTGTGCAGTTTAGAACTCATCTGAGAGGAATATGATACCAATTGAAAACAGTGCCATTTATTCCAAAAATGCATGGATGAACAGAGGTTTGCCTACATACGCCTATTTGTGCCCCTTTACCTGTGCTCAGCCCCATTGCCATCAACAACCCACATACATTACAACAAGAACGATGGCAGAAGGTTTAAACAAACCAGTCAAATAAAACTAGCCTAAATTATGAAAGCCAAGAGACAGCTATGCTTTAGGTTAATACAACACTCAATGATATAAATTCCCAATAAGATGAGGATATAGAGGGGCGGTGATAAAATAAAGAGTGACTATGTACAGAGGCACTGCAATTGAAGCAGTGCAACAGAGCATCCATTGAAAGCAGCTGGGCACAGGGCGACGGAGGAAGGTAGCAGGGAGGTGAATGGGCAAGGCAAGGTGGGAGCACACAAGGCTCAGCTTTGTTTAGAACGAGGGTTACCAAGCATAGAGTAGGATAAATAAGGAGCCCTCATAAAATCTCAGTGCATGTCAGTCTTACCACTATTCCTTCCTTTGGAATTAATCTGCAGCAGTTCAGTATGAGGAATATCTATTTTGGTCATTTTTGTCCTTACTCAGATAGGAGTGGCACAGAGAATACAGTGTTCCTTCTTATCAGGACCTTGTCTGATTGCCTCTTTTACTAATGGATTTAATAGTGCTAAGTGTCCCCCTAACCCCAAAAGTGAATGATCCAAATTATTTATACTGGTTGGCTATTCAAAACACAATTGTGTGCTTCAGGAGCAGTGAGAGATGAAGAGTGGAGAACTAATCCATCACCATTCTAATATTCAGACACTGACCGGTTAAAAAAGAAACATAGCATAGCTACCTATAATTTTAAATCCCCCTAATAACCCCGTAACTCATTCGAATCAGTGTGGGATCATCACTGTGGAAGTGGCATTTAGACTATCATCATCATCAGTTTCAGCGTTGATCTATCTATTCTAGCAAGCCAATGAATGAAACAGTACGACTTGCGCAGTGCGTGCGTTCTGTCTAATCACACAAAACCAAGCTGGTTTGTAAACTGGTGAAAAGAAGGTAGCTAATAAATCCTAGTATAGAGCCTATTAAAACGTGACGACATCATACCAAGCTGTAACATCAATGACAGGAATTATGGAGCGATAACACACTGTCAATCAAGTAGCTAGCAATGGATTATAGCTAGCTGTCGTTATTGGAAATGGGTGTGTAGTACACGGCTAATAAACACCAAAACGCTTAGCCGCCCTCAATTTGTCTGATAACATTGATAGCTATAAAACATGATCTATGATCCGATAGCCAATTTACAAGCTCAATTACAAGGTATTAATTCAATCATTTGATCGGTTAACCTGTTTCGCCTGGCAAGGGTTTCCACTAGATAGCCATAAGGTGATCAGTGTGGTTAACGTTAGCTTTCTCTTGACTTGAGATGGAAACTGATGTGTCCAGACTAGCTAACTACAAATATTGAGACATACTTCTCCAAAACCAGTTGTTTTAACCTCACAACTATTTACAATTTCCATTATCTGTGTTAATTGTTGCAAATTTACAATTATTAAATGTATTCTATAAAACACTCACCACACATGTCTGCGCCTCGATTGCCAACTGCAGCGAACTGTGACTCAGTTCGTCATCTGATGATGACAGTCATGCAGGGTCCCACCCCCATCAAATTCTATTGAATGGGATCCAAGTTTCCCCTCAGTACGCTTCTCCTATTGGTGCAACGGCTGTCACTCTCGCTTCTTACCTGCCAACGCGGACAGCCCTGACGTGGCAGCAGGATGCAGATATCCGTATGCACTAGAGGGGATGGAATCAAATCTGTTAAGTGTCAAGCAACCAATATTTATTCTGAGTTTATGATCAAATCTATGTAGGTCTTTGTCAGTATATTCGTTTATTACTTTATATCTGCCTCATTTTAAAGATGTATTATGCAGATTCGCTCCGCCATTTCCTGGTTGCAAAAATTCTAATAGTTTGCTTAATTTCTATTTCTGACAAAACAAGGAAGTATAGTGTTGAGAATCACTGTACCATCTAAACCGCTGTGAACGGTCTTTTCCATGATTAAATGTTTTTTCATTTCTGTTTGAAACTGGTGTACAAAACCTAAAGTAAAATAGGGCGCAAAAACAAAACGTAAGAAGCATAGAAATAGTGCACATAGAACATATTTACCACTTCTTATACTTGCTTTCAGTGAGCATGGTTACAGTCAGATTAATTGGATAGTCAGATTAATATAATAGTTCGTTTAAAACGTTTACATGCTTTGCAAGAACGATTTCCCTAATAATCCTGTTTATATGGTCAAATATGAAATCAGGCTACTGATGGGACTTTTGTTAATGTTGAAAATTGCCAATTAAAATAAACGTTCTACCACAGTGACTATGTTATTTTTGCGAGGCCTATTTGATTCTGAGTTTGGACATATAAAGTTTGTTTGTGAAGCCTATTTCTAAGATGCATACTTAAAGTTTTTCCGAACTCACTTCACTCGTGCATTAGAGGCTTGCGCCACTACCAGTGCTGGCACAAGTGCAGATTAAATACACCGCTGGAACGTCGATTAAACTGTTTACATGTCCTAATAATTCCCAATTTCGCAAGAGTGGTGCGTGGGTAAAAGGCAAGCCAGGAAAAAAATGCCATAGTAAAACCGGTGTTGTGATAATTGCGTTGTTTGTTCTATAACCTGTTCATTCGTATGCCTTGCCACAGTGTGATATATAGGCATAAAAGGCAATTTATGCTTGATCCGAAAAGGTGGTAGGAGGCTCCATAGAGGGTGTGACGCAATAGCAAAGCCTCCATAGGCATGCAGATGACAAATCGAGCTCCTTACCGCCTCCCAAATGTTGTAACAATGAAAGGCGCTGCATGGTCAATCTGACATCTGCATTGGTCGTGCAGCATTTACGGTGATATGGCCTCTGCAGAAGTCAGGGCATTCATACTTCTTACCTTCGCAGAGCTGTTGTGAATTAAATTGTCAAGGAAGTGAGCCTGTGTTCATGCAGGACCTCCCGCCCCACCTACCGTCAACCAATCATGTCAGTGCAGAGTTATACAGGCCCTCCATATTGTTACAACATTTGGGAGGTGTATGGAGCTACATTTGGCCTCTGCAAGCCTCCAAAGGCTCCGCAATTGCATCACACCCTCCATATGGAGCCTCCATCCACATTTTCAGATCAAGCATAAATTGGCTCTGAGGAGGGCTCCATATAGCACCACATTGACATGATTGGTTGACATTAGGTGGGGGTGGGAGGTCCTGTATAAACACAAACTCAGTTCCTTGACAACAGCTCTGCTCTGTTAAATGAAGCTCAAGAAGTATGAATGCCCTGACTTCTGCAGAAGTCCTGCATGGTCAATCCGACATCTGTATTGAACGTGCAGCATTTATGGTGATACTGTCTCTAGAAGTCAGGGCATTCATACTTGTTGCACTTCGCGGAGCAGCACAGCACTGTTGAACAGAGCTGTTGTGAAGGAAGTTGTCAAGGAAGTGAGTTTGTGTTTATACAGGACCTCTTGCCCCCAGCTACCTTCAACCAATCGTGTCAATGCGGAGCCCTCTGCATTGTTTCAAAATTTGGGAAGCGCACAGCGATGCAGTACGGAGCTCAATTTGGCCTCTGCATGCCTCTGGAGCCTCCAAACACATTGCGGATCAAGCATAAATTCGCTTTGAGACACAGTGGTAGAATAAAGTCAACCACGCCTTTGATTCCTCACAAAACCGGAGAGCAACACCTGTCCGGTGAAGTCAAGCATGGTCAAGCAAGTTCATGTTTCTGACATTTTCGGACTACTAAACAACTATTGATTTAGAACCACGGAGAGTTACCGCATGTCCCAAAGAAAACAGGTGCGGCCTCCATTATTCCAGCACCATTTCAACATAATCTAATCACCTATGCTTAGTCTAATACAGTGACAACTAAAAGATACAAAAAACGATTTAGTCCAATCAACGTAAGCTAAATATGATGTGGCTGTCCATGGCACTGATTTATGTGTGTGTGTGTGTGTGTGTGTGTGTGTGTGTGTGTGTGCGTGCCTGCTTGAATGTAGAAAAAAACATATTGGCTGCATTCCAGACACGTAAAAGACACCCTCTCCCCTCAGCCATCAAATTAAGTGGACACTTCTGATGACGTATCATCACGTATGATGAGTTGACACTTGCAGGGCAAGGGGCGAGGGAAGCACACAACTGTGGTTATGTTGGGCCAAGATGGCGTCGCTGTGAGAGGGAGTGTTTTCTCACTTGTCCAAGCAACGTAGAGGGTTAGGTGGTTAACAGTCTAATATTGGCTATCAATGTAGCAAGAAACTAACTATAACTGGTTTTAGCTACATATGGCAAGTTTAGAGTTAGTTTTCGTCAAGTTGAATGGGAAGAACACGACAGAGACAACAGAAGACAGAATATCCAAGCCTCACAGAAGACGGCAGGCATGCTATCTAGCTACGACGAGAGCCAGAGCAGCATGGATACACAAGATGCCGCGAACTCAAGCAAAAGAAAGAACAAGACGGACCAGGACGAGATCCTTGCAACCTCTTTACCTCAGACCCCAATTAAAAGTCCACCGGAGAAAAAAGTGAAAGAGGACATTTCCATGTCTGAACTTCTCACTGCAATCCAGACCCTGACTACTAAACAAGACGCCACGTTCTCCAAAGTTTCCATCATAGAGCGGGCTAACGAAGAAACATCCAAGAAGATTGATAATTTGTCAGAGCCTGTCCGTCTGCTTCACACAGTTGTGGGCGGGAACAAGGAAAATATAAAGTTTCTAGAGAATGAGCTAAAGAAACTGTATCCCAAAATACTGAGCTGTGTGAGAGTGTAGCTTAAAACAGTACTCTCGCAGGTGGAATCTGAAAATCCAAGGTGTAAGATAGGTAGAGGGAGAGGACATTAGGGAAGCGGTCATCAATATCCTGGGAAAGGTGGCTCCGTGCATCAAAGACAAGCTAAGAGACGTGATCGATGTGGTACATCGACTTGGGAAACGAAGGTCTGATGACCTCGCAATGTCATCCTGCGCTTCTCTATGCGCCAGGGACATCGTCTGGAAAATGGCCAAGGGGAACACGTTTCTGGACGAGAAGAAGCTCCGCATCAAATAGGCTCTGATACCAGGGAGAAACTGTGGCTGCTTATACAGAAGGCTCAATAAGAGGGAAAGAAGGCTGGGTTCAAGGGCCCACACATGTTCATCGAAGGAAGAAAGGAGCGTCGCTGCACAGCTATTTTCAGGTCTCTCCAGAGATGTTAGATCGGGTTCAAGTCCGGGCTCTGGCTGGGCCACTCAAGGACATTCAGAGACTTGTCCTGAAGCCACTCCTGCGTTGTCTTGGTTGTGTGCTTAGGGTCGTTGTCCTGTTGGAAGGTGAACCTTCGCCCCAGTCTGAGGTCCTGAGCGCTCTGGAGCAGGTTTTCATCAAGGATTTCTCTGTACGTTGCTCCATTCATCTTTCCCTCGATCCTGACTAGTCTCCCAGTCCCTGCCGCTGAAAAATATCCCCACAGCATGATTCTGCCACTACCATGCTTCACGTGACGCCTAGCATTCAGGCCAAAGAGTTCAATCTTGGTTTCATCAGACCAGAGAATCTTGTTTCTCATGGTCTGAAAGTCCTTTAGGTGACTTTTGGCAAACTCCAAGCGGGCTGTCATGTGCCTTTTACTGACGAGTGGCTTCCGTCTGGCCACTCTACCATAAAGGCCTGATTGGTAGAATGCTGCAGAGATGGTTGTCCTTCTGGAAGATTCTCCCATCTCCACAGAAGAACTCTGGAGCGCTGTCAGAGTGATCATCGGGTTCTTGGTCACCTCCCTGACTAAGGCCCTTCTCCCCTGATTGCTCAGTTTGGCCGGGAGGCCAGCTCTAGGAAGAGTCTTGGAGGTTCCAAACTTCTTCTATTTAAGAATGATGGAGGCCACTGTGTTCTTGGGGACCTTCAATGCTGCAGAGATTTTTTGGTACCCTTCCCCAGGTCTGTGCCTCGACACAATCCTGTCTCGGAGCTCTACGGACAATTCCTTCAACCTCATGGCTTGGTTTTTGCTCTGTCATGCACTGTCAACTGTGGGACCAGGTGTGTGCATTTCCAAATCATGTCCAATCAACAGAATTTACCACAGGTGGACTCCAATCAAGTTGTAGAAACATCAAGGATGATCAATGAAAACAAGATGCACCTGAGCTCAATTTCGAGTCTCATAGCAGAGGGTCTGAATACTTATGTAAATAAGGTATCTGTAAAACTTTTTTTTTTTTTTAATGTCTAAAAACCTGTTTTCGCTTTGTCATAATGGGGTATTGTGTGTAGACTGATGAGGATTTTTTAACAATTTAATCCATTTTAGAATATGGCTGTAACGTAACAAAATGTGGAAAAAAATCAAGGGGTCGAATACTTTCCGAATGCACTGTACATATTTAGCTTTTTGAACACTACCCATGTTTTTGACAAAAATATAATTTGTTACTATTGCAATGATAACAAGACCATTGAAATGATTGTGATTTTTTTTATTCTAGTTGCCAAATACTTTATACACAAACAGAAATTCCAGAATTCTATACCAAAATTACTAATATTTTTGATTGAATTTATTCATCTTGTTAAGACATTATCCATAGTTAATAATACAAATATCTTCCTGAATCATTATAATAAGATTTTTTCTGAGTGAATACAATTATTTGTATGTATTTAGTATTTTCTAGTTTAAACCTGTGTTTTGTTTTGTTAGACATGTTTGATG